GTATATATATATATATATATATATATATATATATATATATATATATATATATATATATATATATATATATATATATATATATATAGCTTAAGATTTTGGATACACATATATTTAATATATATGCAAACCTTTGCAAACCTCAAACTCTAAACCTCAAACTTAAAATCTAAGCGTGCAAAGCATAATGGGAGCATCACATATACGCATGGGCCCATTTCTTAGAGACATGGTAAATATCTCCTTACGAGAACAATTCATTCACAAATAGCTGCAATACTCAACTACAAAACTTGTGCTCCCATTAAGCTTTGCGTGCTTAGAGTTTAAGGTGCAAAGGACTGAACCTTTTTTGAATTGGCTGTATATGTGGTAGAAGATACTTTAACACAAAAAGGTAAACAATATACTTAATCCGTAGATGATCCTCTATAATCCTCTGGCAAGATTTGCCGGAAATCTAAATGTATACTGGGACGTTAAGTATACATTTATGCTGTATATCTGGATTTCAGGATTGCATTAAGAATCGTTTATCGAAAAAAAATCTTTGAAATTATTCAGCCTTCCCTGTATCAACAACTATGATTACCTCCAGATGATCTTGATACGCGGAAAAGTACTGGCACTAGTTGTCAAATAGAAATCCATTTTATGATTAAAACAACTGAATATCTCCTGTAATATACTTTATTTCGATTCCATATCTTTGTCAGAGCTATAGTTCTCATAACCAAACATAATTACAAAATTTCAACTAGTTTCATAAAGAATAACGAAAGATATAATTGACTGAATACATCAAAATGGATTTCTATTCGGACAACCCTTTCTGAGCGCTGATTGGCTAAAATACGAACACGAGATCACCTGGCTATAAGAATCTGTCATTTATCAAAACTAGAAACTCAAAATAGACTAGGACCATTCAACAATTCAACACCAGCTTCTTAAAGTAAGTGTGGTGTTGAAAATCCTCAGAACCATTTTTTACAGTTTCCGCGTTAAAGCTTTACCGGATACTTTATAGAGGTTTAAAACCATTAATTATGAAAAAATATCCCGAGGTTATTTTCAAACAAGCGAAGGGATGTTTTATAAAATACAACACGCCAATGCCAACTCCGGAATGTTTAATCTATTTCGAAGTGTTAGAATTTCTCCAAGGTTTTGCCAGCTTTGGGTCTCAAAATTACGACTGCGAGTCATTTTTGCAGTCACTATATTTATTTTAAAAATCATTAATAATTCATGAGGAAAAGACAAAGGAAATCACTGCCGCGTGTCAGTGGTTTTATATGTGATAAAAATCATGTTCATTTATATAATTTTAGCTTTGATTTTCTCGGCTTAGACAACGTTTATTTTTAAAATTACTTCGCCAATGAACTCTTTATAGATGGGTCGTTTTTTAAGCCATTTAAAACGCTCGCAGTCCGTTATCAGATATAAAACACTCGTTATAAACTAATTCTTATTATCATTGTTATGAGAAGGACCTACCTTTTATAAACTTTATGCATCAATATACAAATGTACAAAAGATCAGTATAAACATACATACGGTTCACGTCTTGCTAGCAATGGCTTCTCTTATCTGTCTATCAAGTTCAGAAATGATTCTATCTTCAGTGGTATAAACACCAGTCTGGAGTAAGGTATCTCTTTCTTCTATAAGTTTGGCGATTTTACTATCGAGCTCTTCCTTACGTTGTGTTTCTTCTCTTTCTCGCGCAGCCAACATGGCTGCTTCTTGTTGTGAATGCAAGTGTTCTTGTTGTTGGGTCACGGTGTCTTGTTGCTTTGAACGTTCTTGGTCTTTTAATCTGAGCATGAAGATAAATTATGGTTGTTGGTTTGGTTTATGACGCCATCATAAAGATAAAAAAATCGTGCAAAAAGGAATGCGGAGAAAATACCTCATGGGCGGCGTTGTACGAAGGTCCGCTATCCACCGCGGATAGTGATTTTTTCAACCTTTGTAAAATGCTTGAAAAACTGTGAAACTACGAATATAGACGACACAAGAAATATAAAAAAAACATTTAACTTATAAATACTAAACTTTAATATGAGTTATACCAATCAACGACTGATTTAACAAAGCTTGAAAAAATCACTATCCGGTGGATAGCGCTATCCGGCCTTCGTACAACTGGCCCCAGTACAATGGACCTTATGCATAATGACGTCACAAGGCTTGATGCCCGCGAGGAATGCTGGTCTTAGTAGTCATCGCCTAGAAATTTTTCCGGGAGATGACTATTAAGACCAGCATTCCTCACGGGCATCAAGCCTTGTGACGTCATTATACATAAGGTCTATTCCGCAAAAAAATTCCACCACAAGCAGACGCGGCCGAAAAACTTCGTGCAAGCTGAAAATCCCCCCGTCATAACTTTCCAACTGATCCGTCCCTACGTGTTATGCAATGGTTCATTCCATACCTATTCAGTTCATTCTTTATATCTTCTAACTCCTTTCGTTCAGTATTCGCAATCTACGAAAAACATGGAAAATACATGACCTAACTAGGAGCAGCTGTGAAAAATGGAACCGTAGGCCCTCTAGCAGGAATCGAATCTAACCAGCTGAGCTATACAGAGTTCAGCTGTCGAGATTAACCACAAGTCCACGTAAAACGAATTCCAAACGGTTTTTCTTTCTCTAAAACTAGCCTGAGTATCAGGCCATTTTCCCTTCCTTGAATAGCTCAGCTGGTTAGAGATCTGCACAGACAGCACCGGAATCGCAGGCTCGATTCCTGCCAGAGGGCCTATACTATAGTTGCATTTTCCGGGCCTATAGTTAGTCCTGGTTAGGTCTTAATGAATGCACAAAATGTACACTCGAAATTTTCAAAAATTCTTCAAGGTACAATATGTGACAGACGTATACCTCTTTCTCCTGAGCTGCAAGGAACCGCAGTCTCATTTCTTCTAATTCTTTTTCTTGTTGCTTCAATCTTGCCTTGGCTGCCGTCTGTTCACTTTGTTTTACTTTGCCAAGTTCTTTCAGCGCTTTACCCCACTGCTGTTTGTAGTGGATCTTGGATTTGTTAGCACTCTCCAACTTGCGCTCTAATTCGACCTGCGTAAAGAAAAAGAAAAATCTATAACCTGCGTTTAGGAAAAATGTGTAGGCCAGACTCTTTTGACCAGTTTCTAATGTTTAATACAGACACTCCTCTAATACAGACGCCTCTCTAATACAGATAGCTTCCTGATACGGAAACCTCTCTAATATGGACATTTCTACTAAAACACCCTTCTAATGCTGACAGCACTCTAATGGCACAAAAACTACAAGAGCATTGCGAAGCAGAAAAAACAGATTTTGACATGTTAACATCTATTGTGTAGAAACTGATTTAAAAACAAAAAACATGTTCATTGAGAATATAAATTGTTCAGAAAAAGATCCATCATTCAAAAGGATGAACTGTGCCTTTAATGGCTATTATAGACTATGTTATAAAACAATTATACCATGAGCTCGAGTCGTATATGAGCTGATAACCAATCAGGTGCGCATCACCGAGTCGGCTACCAGCCATATACGACGAGAGCGAATATGTGTGAGCTCTCTGTATGAGCACTAGTGCCCTTAGAGCAAACCGCCAGAAAAAAATATATAAATATATAATGTTTGCATGATAAATACCCCCAAAACCTTAATCAGGTCGCTCTCTACCCAAAATAAAGTTTTTACTTATTATCCTATCAAAATACCAAACAAACTAATTATAGTTGCAACTGCTAAATCTATCATGAGCAATACCAGCAACTCCAGACAGGGGAAGTTGTGTCAATGATAATAGTTTTATAAGTGTATAAAAAATACTGTTTTACAATTGTGTCATTTGACATCCGCTTTGTCGAATTACTTTAAAAAATAAGCTAGAGGGCAAAACCGTGCCACATGCACAATACAACTTAATGCCAACATACTAACCGCGAATGAAAACTTGTTAATAGTTGCCATATGACATGCCCGATTGACCTATAGATTTTGGTCTGGAACATTTTCTATTTCAAAAGGTAATCATGAGCGCCAATTTTTGTTTTATTCCTCTGGCCCGCCCTCCGTAACTCGTATGTTAATTGCGTCTATTGTTTTGACTTCAGTATATGTAACAAAACGCCTAATCAGCGTACACATGGGTAATTACTTCATTTAAGACCCACAAAACAGTTTGAGCAAAGCAACTATAACCAATCATTAATATTTAATAACAGTTTGTAGTATCGGTAATATCAACAACAAAATTATGGATATTTCTATTTTAGTACCGATAAGCCGATACCGATACACCGATATATGGATATCGGTGTATCACTAGTTCTTACACTAAGTAGTAACTTACACATGCACGTGCCACAGTGCTCAATGAACTAAATTTCATTTCGGGGGGAGGAGGGGTACTAATAATCCTTACTTGCAGCCGAGATCTAAGCTGAATTGTGAAGAACGCAACTCAACTTGATCTAGTCGTAGGTTTTCAAAGGGCGCCGCTCGCAGCCACCTTCTGACTTATATCTGATCACGAAGCACAGCTGCGGTGGAAGGGTCCTTTAGCGGGCCAGACTGGCTGTCAATTTGGATGTTTATTAAAACCATGATAAGAACTTGTTTCATATTATTCTGACACTGCAATAGACCAACGAAAAATTCGTTGGCTCGAGCGGGATTTGAACTCGCATCTTCGGGTATCTAGACCGCCGCTCTACCCATTGAGCTATCGAGTTTTTCATCGAACCAACGAATTTTTCGTTGGTCTATTGCAGTGTCAGAATAATATGAAACTGCATGATTTTTCGTATCTCTGAGGATGGTTCTGAAATTAAATATGGTAAGAACTTTATCAAACGAATCATTCCGGTTAACCCCGGCTCTATATGGGGCTAATCCCAACCCACCCTCTCAACTTTCCCTGTGCGAGGAAACCGGAGTACCCGGTGGAAAACACACGACTTTTGACTTTTGTTGACTGACTCTTGTGGTGTCACGAGTCCGCAGCAAGAATAGAATAAAATAATAAATAGAATAAAATTAAACAATTCGAAATTTTCCTGGGCGATGACTACTAAGACCAGCATTCCTCGCGGGCATCAAGCCTTGTGACGTCATTATGCATAAGGTCTATTGAACCCACGATCTCAGAGATGAAAGGAGCTCTGCTAAAGCGCTTTTCATATAAGATTACTGTATTGTATAATTCTTTCTGATTAGCAAATAATCTATGGCCCGTTTTATTCGTCGAATTTCGGTCGCGTCGAATGCAATTAAGACAATAGATAATGAGATGAGAAACCTCGTTACGCTTCATTTCTATTGTTTAAATTGCATTCGGCGCGACCGAAATTCGACGTATAAAACAGGCCTAAGAATGTTATTTCAATGAAAGAAAATTATGCGAAATTTCCTTTAATGAATAACATCCTCAATCAAGAGGTGACAGGCATTGGCCTGTTTTCTTAAATTATTGAATATTAACGTCTGTGCTGTAAACTAAACAGGTGCATCACGATCGTTGAACAAGCTCTTTTGTTAAATGTTACCAAATGCCTTACAATTAGAAAGACTGCATGTATATACCACACAATTTTAAAATATTGAACTGTTTATGGATTTTCCATAAACGAATTAGTTCTATTCGGGCAAAGATGTGGTGCATAACGAAGAAAAAATATTCATACATGTAGGTCACACCTATATAGAGATGCCGGCGGAGGAGTACACCCCTCGAGATTTGACAGGTTTTCAAACCCACGCTCTTAAACTCGTCGGATATGAATAATTTGTAAGCTGTAAACTGGCCCAGACGGTATCCCAAATAGGATCCTGAAAACCTTCGCTTTTGAATTTGCCCCTATCATAACGGACATATACAATACATCAGTGCTCCAGGGAGTCTTCCCTGATCAGCTAAAACGTTCTATCGTCGTTCCCATTCCAAAAGTGTCACCACCTCAGACTATTGAGGACGATTTAAGACCTATATCACCTATATCACTCACAGCTCAGGTATCTAAAGTGATGGAAGGATTTATGCTACAGTCCCTCATGTCGGAAGTGGGTCTTAAATTGGACCCAAAGCAATTTGCTCTTCCGGGAAAGTCAACCACTCAGGCACTCGTTTATCTCCTCCACTTGATTCATGCTGCTTTAGATCAAGGCCACTGCTCTGTAAGAATCTTTTTTGCTGATTTCAAAAAAGGTTTTGATCTCGTCGACCATAATGTCATTATTGATGAACTTTTAAAATTACAAGTGAGTCCTGCCATTATAAGATGGATAAAGTCGTTCCTTACCTCCCGCGAACAGTGTGTTAAAATCGGACCATCCTTTTCCTCATGGAAACCCGTTAACGGTGGCCTACCTCAAGGAACTAAACTTGGCCCTCTTCTCTTTGCCATTTTAGTCAATTCCCTCCTACAGGACTGGAATGGGCGGATAAAGTTTGTAGACGATGCTACTGCACTAGAAATTGTTCCACGTTGCTCTCCTAGCTTGCTACCTATTCTCGTAAATGATGTATCTCAGTATGCCTCAAGTAGAGGAATGAAGCTTAACAGTAAGAAATGTAAGGAGATGACAATATCCTTCCTCCAATACCACCTTCCACTTGATAATGCGATCTACATAGATGGTTCGCCAGTGCAATCAGTATCCTCCTTTAAACTGCTCGGTGTGCTACTGAGAGAGGATCTATCTTGGTGTGATCATGTCGACTATGTGATTAAAAAAGCAAATTCTAGACTCTATGCATTGCGGAAGTTAAAAAAGGCTGGGTTAAGCGATAAAGACCTTGTCACTATATATTCCTCCTTCATTCGGTCCCGAATTAAGTACGCTTCACCTGCGTGGTCAACGCTGACCCAAGGCCAGTCTGACCTTATCGAATCGATACAGAGAAGAGCATTACGTATCTTGCTTCCCGAAATGTCGTATCAAGACGCATTGAATTATACTGGTCTAAAAAAGTTAAGTACGCGTAGACATAATTCCTGTGAACAATTTATTCGGAAATTGAAGCTTGACAATGGTCCTATAAATCCTCTTAAGGATGTTGTTGCAACTCGTATACATCCAAATACTCATAATTATAATCTTAGG